ACCAACGACAGCCAGCAGCAAGAGCAACAGCAGCAGAAAGAGCAGCAGCAGCTGCTGCTGCAGCAAGGACAACCTGAGATAGCCGAACGTGCGGCAGTAGAAGCAGACGAGTTCTGGTGAGTCACAAGAGCTGCTGCTGCTGCTGTTGCTGCTGCTGCTGTTACTGCTGCTGCTGTTGCTGCTGCTGCAGTCGTATCTGTTGCTGTAGTCGCTACTGGTGGTGTTGTTGTCGCTCTGGCTGCTACTGCTGCACACAATGTTGGTACAGCATTCGTTTCTGTTGCTGTTGCTGCTGCTGCTGCAATTGTTGCTGCTGCGCCTTCGTTTCTTCCTTCAGGGGTGGTGCAGATCCGGTGTATCCTCTTGATGCATTTGCTGCTGCTGTTTATTCTGCTGTGGGGTTTCTAGACCCTCTAAGTGCAGCAGCAGCAGCAGGGGCTGCAGCAGGAACTGCATTGGGGGTTCTGGAGATGCACAGCAGCAGCAGCAGTAGCAGCAGCAGCAGCAACGGCAGCATTCCGATTCAAGATGAGGAGATTATTCGTAACTCGTTGCTGCAGCAGGCGCTTCGTGTTGCTTCTGCTGCTGCTGTTGAAGGTCCTCCCTGCCGTCTGCATGCGCTGCTGCAGCATTGCTGCTTCCCTGCTGCTGCTGCTGCATTGCTGCCGTTTGCTGCTGCTGCTGGGATGTCTCAAGCTGCAGCAGCACTCGTGCCTCTGTGCGCAGCGACTGCTGCTGGTTCTGCTGCTGCTGCTGGTGCGGCCTTCAATAGTATGCAGTGCAACACCAGCACTACCAGCAGCAGCGGCTACGGCGACAGAAGCAGCAGCAGCAGCGACAGCAGCAGCAGCAACAGCAGCAGCAGCAGTCGCTCCCACAAGACAACAGCCAACGCGAATGCCTGCGCTTCCTTTTGGGGTCCTAGGCCTCGAAGGGCATTAACAGCAGCAGCAACAGCAGCAGCAGCAGCAGAAGCGGCAGCAGACATGAAAGAAAAGGACATGCAGCTGCTGCAGCAGCACGGATGGATGTACACTTCGTTGCTGCTTGCTGCTGCAGCACACGGAGACGCAGCCTTATGCCGCTGTATTCTTGGCTCTTTGAGTATAGGTAATTTCTGCTGTTGCAATTGCTGCTGCTGCTGCTGCTATTGCTGCTGCTGCTAATGCTGCTGCCGTCGCCATTGTGCTTATGCGACTGCTGCTGCTGTTGGGTGGTGGCCTCGGCAACGCGTCAGTAGGACTGTTTGCTGCTGTTGCTGCTATTGCTGCTGTTGCTGCTATTGCTGCTGTTGCTGCTGTTGCTGCTATTGCTGCTATTGCTGCTATTGCTGCTATTGCTGCTGCTGTTGCTGTTGCTGCTGCTGCTGCTCCTGCGTGTTCTGCAGCCGATAGACTCCGCGCTCTTAAGCAACGAGGGTCTCCTAGAGGGACGACAATATTTCTTGCTGTTTGCCGGGGGACACCATTCCATGTAAACCCTAAACCCTAAACCCTAAACCCTAAACCCGTAAAAACCCTAGTGCCTGCCCTTGTGTCACCTGCTTAGGGTGAAAGGGACTTTAGCTGTTGTTCTGCTGCTGCTGCGGTTGCTGCTGTTGCTGCTGTTGCTGCTGCTGCAGTGTCGCTTGGCGGGTTTCTTTACGCCTTTGGATGCCAGCAGCCGCCCCGATCTTGTTGGCTGGCTGTTGCGCTGCTTTGCTGCTACTCGGGTCCAGTTGCAGCAGCAGAAGCAACAGAAGCAGCAGCAGCAGGAGCAGCAGCAAGGACAACATGAGCAGCAAGTGCAGGGACAGGTTCAAGAGCATCCGGTGCAGCACCAGCGGCAGCAGCTCTGCTGTTGCTGCTGCTGCACCTCAGCAGCAGTACGCCGGCAGGTGCTGCTGCGCTCAGACTCTCGCGGCTACTTCCCGCTGCTTGCTGCTGTGCATCACTGCAGCAGCGAGGATTTGCTGCAGCAGTTGCTGCAGTTCTGCTGCAGCTGTATGTACAAACTTGATCCAGACAGGAGCAGCAGCAGCAGCAGCAGTAGCATCAGCAGCAGGTGTCCTTGGGTGCCGGCCTGGCAGCAGCAAGAGGGAGAGGGTCCCCGCATGCTCGCTCAAGGTTACAGGGCCTCAGAGGTACCCTAAACCCTAAACCCTAAACCCTAACCACTCGCATAGGAGGTTGTACACTGCCATCTTGTCCTTGGAGGGGTTAAGGGTTTGGGGTTTAGGGTTTGGGGATTAGTGTATTGTGCTGTTGGTGCATGCAGCTGCGGGCGCTGCTGCGCTGCGCTCGTGCGAGCCTGCAGCAAAGGAAGTATGGCGTACTGCTGCACCTTCTTTATTTTAAGGCTTTGCTGCCTTCCTGTGCCAGCAGCAGCAGCAGCAAACGTAGCAGCAGTAGCAGCAGCAGCAGCAGCAGCAGCAGCAGCCATATCCATACGCGAGCCTTGCAACCGTGTTGCTTTCCCTTCTATTGGGAACAGAAACAACTGCAGCAACACTTGCAGCAGCAACAGCAACAGCAGCAGCACCATAAGGGGCAGAGCTTCGAATACCCGCGTCTGCCTTCTGCTGCCGAGGCTGAATTGCTGCTGCTGCGCCTGCAGCTGCTGCTGTTGGCTACTGCAGCAGGGGATGCTCGAGGTGTCTCAATGTTGGTCATTAGCGGCTGTGCTGATGGTTGTTTGCTGCTGCAGGCTGCTCTTGTGCTGCTGATGTGCAGCAGCAGTGCAGCAGCCGCTGCTGCTGCTGCTGCACCAGGTGCAGCAATAGTAACATCTGCAGCAGCAGGGGAACCGCGCAACCAGAAGTTGCTGCAGACTCCGAGATGTTTGTCCAGAGCAGCAACACCGGGAGCAGCAGCAAAAACAGCAGCAGCAGCAGCAGCAGCAGCAGCACCTTGGGGTGTATCGCGAGCTTCGCGACGGCTGACGAGACTGTCAGGCACTTTGTGGCGGTGGGCTATAGCTGGTGGCTTCCCTCTGGATCTAATACACAACCAGCAGCAGCAATTGCAGCAACAGCAGCAGCAGCAACAGCAGCAGCAACAGCAGCAGCAGAAGCAACAACAGGGCCCAAAACCTCACGGTTGCGTACAGCCCTCTCCGCCACTTCAGCAGCAGCAAGAAGAGAAACAGTACAATGAGGTGCAACAGCAGGACCGGGAACAGGAGCAACAAGGGCAGCAGCAGCAGCAACAGCAGCAGCAGCAACAGCAGCAGCAGCAACAGCAGCAGCAACAATACTTGCTGTTCGATGCCTTGTTGACTACTGGAGATAATCCCCTAGAGCCTCATTTCTCTGCTGCTGCTGCTGAGCAGCAGCAGCAGCAGCAGCAAGTACTGCAGGAAGCTGAATATGCAGCAACAGCAGCAGCAGCAGCAACAGCAGCACCAGATAGCTCACAGGTGCTATTGCTGGGTTTGCTGAGGCAGCGAGTGCTGCTGCTGCTGCGGTGTCTCATAGCAGAAGCAGCAAGCTCGAAGCACAGCACAGGCAAGACCAATAAACCCCTTAAACCCTAAACCCTAAACCCTAAACCCTAAACCCTAGATGCAAACCTTAAACCCTAAACCCTAAACCCTAAATCATCATTACCTTCAAACCTTAAGCCCTAAAAAAGTACACTCTAGACCCAAACCCTAAACCCTAAACCCTAAACCCTAATCAACAATGAATTAAGGGTTTAGGCTTTATGAATGTTGCTGCATGCAGACACAAGTACGTCGTTTGCGTTAGGGTGGGGCCTGCTGCTGCATGTACACCAGATGCTTAAAGATGTTTTGCTGCTGCCGCTGCCGTCTTCAGCAGCAGCAGCAGCAGAAGCAGCAGTAACAGCAGCAGCAGCAGCTGCTGCTGCAGCAGGAGAAACAGTGATATCAACAATGACGGCAACAGGAGCAGCACCAACAGCAACAGCAGCAACAGCAGCAGCAGCAACATGGCCTGCACCTGCTACAGTAGCAGCTCTTGTGTTACCACCGCCTGCTCCTGTTTTTTTGCTGCTGCAGTCAGCAGCAGCAGCAAAACTATCTCCTCAAGGAGCACAATATTCTTGCTGCCGCTGCTGCTGCAAAGGGGAGCTGCTGTCACGGCGGCTGCAGCAGCCGCACCGCACGAGCGATGCAGCACTGCAGCAGCAGCACACTGATGCAGCTAACACCCTGCAGCAGCAGCAGCAGCAACAGCAACAGCTGCAGCGGCAGAACATGCAGGAGAAAACCACACCACGATCTCGCAAGGAAGCTGTAGATAGCAGCAGCAGCAGCAGCAGCAGCCACCCCTCGTTCCACTGCTGGTAAGATAAGGTACACAATATTTATTGTTAACGGTTGAGGGTTTAGGGTTTAGGGTTTAGATGTGAGGGTTTAGGGTTTAGGGTTTAGGGTTTGTGTATGCAGGAGCTGCGCAATGCCTCTATGCCCCTCCTGCGTCGTTTGGCTGCCAGAGCCACGCCTGCCAACGTTGCAGCAGCTGCGGCAGCAGATGCACCAGCAGCAGCAGCAGCTGCTCCTGCTGCTGCCGCCTCTTGCTACTCCTAAAGCTGGACAGGCTACAGAAGCAGCAGTACAGCAGCAGGAACAGCAGGAGCAGCAGCAGCAACGTGAGGTAAGGAAGCAGCAAATATACGGAGAAGACACCAATCACTAATATCCAGACATTCAGTTTAACACCTATGCTAAAACTCGAGGGTTTAGGGTTTAGGGTTTAGGGTTTGGGGTTTAGGGTTTAGGGTTTAGGGTTTGTTGTGTATACACAGGATAGCCAAATACTTGTGGGCAAAACAGCAGCAGCAGAAGAGTCAACAGTCTCTCTGCCCATTGCATCAGAAACAGAAGCAGCAGCACCAACAGCTGATGCAGCAGCAGCAGCAGCAGAAGCAGCATGCATTAGCAGCGGAGAGAGTTCGCTCCTTCTGACGGTGCAGCAGACAACGGCACTGGGCCAACTGCAGCAGCAACAGTATCCGCCGTCACAGCAGCAGCAGCAACAGCAGCAACAGGAGAGCCAGAGCCACCAGCAGCCGCTGCAGCAGCAGCAGCAGCAACAACTACTACAGCAGCAAAACCAGGAGCACGCAGCTCTTGCTGCACAAGAAAATCTCTCCTGCTCTGCACAATCGGCGAGTGCAGCAACAGCAGCAGCCGCTGTTACTTCTCCTTCGGTTGCTGCTGGTGCTGATGCTGCTGCTCGCGCTGCTGCTGCTGCTGCTGCTGATGCTGCAGCGACCGATCCCAAGCCAAAGCCGCTGCGGCTGCGGCAGAGCCTGTGGAGTTGGCTGCGGCCTTCTGGTGCTCAGACGCAGCAGCAAAAAAGGCAGCAGCAGCAGCAGCAACAACAACAACAGCAAGTGCCGCAACAACAAGGGCAGCAGGAGCAGCAACAACAACAAGAAAAGCTGCAGCAGCAGGAGCCAACAGCAGCAGCAGGTCGGCCAGCATGGAGAAGGCTGGTAGAAAAAAGTTATAGGCGCCTTAAGAGCAGCAGCAGACGCCTTACTGGTATACAGGCAGCTACCCCTAGAGATGAATTAGCAGCAGCAGCAGCAGCAGCAGCAGGAAGGCCACAACGGGTGGCAGCGGCGAAAGGTGCGGGACTACGAGCAGCAGCAGGAGCAGGAGCAGCAGCAGCAGCAGGGGACGCTAGCTACACGGCGAGCTCATTTGCTGCTTGCAGCAGCTCAACGTGCATTAATGCTGATGAATTGTTGCTGCAGCAATCTTCGCAGCAGCCGGCCCTTGCAGCAGCAGCAACAACAGCAGCAGCAACAGCAGCAGCAACAGCAGCAGAACTAGAAGACAGCTGGGAGTATCTCCTAGGGATTCCCGAGATGCCCATGACTGCTGCTGCCTTCCAACGAGGTCGCAAGGAGGAGGAGCAGCAGCAGCAGTGGCAGCTGCAGCACGAAGAGCAGCAACAGCAGCAGCTGTTGCTGCAGAGCAGCACTCTGGCAATACAGAAGCAAGACTCTCTTATAAGACAGCAGCAGGCTCAGCAGCACCACCGTTTGCTGCAGCAGTTCGTAGCTGAACGCCAAGCAGCATCAGCATTCCCCCTCCCTTGCAGCAGCAGCTGCAGCATTTTTGACCCTTCAAGATCAGCAGCAGCAGCAGCAACAGCAGCAACAGCAGCAGCAGTGCCAGAAGCCAGAGCAAGGCATAAGACAACAGGCCAGGTGCACGCGGTGTCTTCAGAAGAAGATCCATCTCTTGTATCTTCAGCTCTGCAGTGGGCCCCCTCAGAGGGGGGGCCCTCCATCACGGAGGGGGGGCCCTCCCTTACTGAAGGGGGCCCCTCCGAAGGTTCAAGTGTTTCATTATCTATGCTGAGCCCGTTGCTGGGGGCCCCCAAAGGAAGCAGCGGTGTACTCAAGGCAGGGGCCCCCGGAGGGGGCCCCCCAAGGGCCCCCTCTAGAGACCCCGATATGTTCTTGTCTTGGTGCTGCATGTGCAGCAACTGTGCTGACTTCTATAGAGAAAATTAAGTCATATTTAAACAGAAGCCCCCAACAAGGGGCCCCCTAAGGGGCCCCCCCCAAGAAGGGGGGCCCCCTTTGTGTTGGGGTTTAAGACTTAGCCGGTGCCCTTGTTGGGGGGCCCCAGTGTGGGGCCCCAAAAAAGGGGCCCCTAGTGTGGGGCCCCAAACAGGGGGCCCCTAGTATGGGGCCCCTACAAGGGGCCCCGAAGGTGATGTAGGACATCAACACAAGTATATATTTTTATTATTTTTATGAATATTATTATTATTATTAATTATTATTATTATTATTATTATTATTTTATAAGTATTATTGTTACTATGCAGCAACATAGTAAAACTAATAATAAGTAATAATAGTAATAAGCAGGACAGCAAGACTACGAACAGCAGCAGCAGCAACAATAATAACAGCAACAACAGCAACAAGAATAACAGCAACAGCAGCAACACTAATAATAGAGAGCAGCAGCAGCAAAGATAGCAGCAAGCAGCAGCAACAAGAAAGACAACAAACAACAAAAAGAAAGGAATGTTGTCAATTGCTGGGCATCTCTTGTGCTCTGCTCAAAGGGGCCCCCCAAACAGGTGTATATGCACCGGGGGGCCCCCTAACCTGTATGTACACCTGGGGGCCCCCTTCTGCTGTATGCACACCTGGGGGCCCCCTAAACTGTATGTATGTACACCTGGGGGTCAATAACCTGTCTGTACACCTGGGGGCCCCTTAAAGGGTATAATAAAGAAAGAAGGGGGCCCCTAAATACACCCCATATATAATAAACAAACATAAACTAGCAATTAATGCATATCCATCAATAAAATCCCCATTACCTGCAACAGGGGGGCCCCTACAACTGCAACAAGGAGGCCCCCATAACTGTAACAGGGGGGCCCCTAAAAAGGCAACGGGGGGCCCCTGTACAGCTGCTTGCTGCATCATTGGGGAAGACGATGGATTTTATTTCCCTTTATTTATATAAATAAGACAAATAACATCAGCAACAGCAGCAGCAACAGCTGCAGCAACAGCTGCTGCTGCTGCTGTTGCTGCTGCTGGACGCACACATACAACTGCGGCACTGCCAAGATGCAATTCTTCCCAACAGCCACCAAGACGAGCAGCATATACACATACACATACACACACATACAAAGCAGCAGCAGCAGCAGCAGCATGCTGCTCCTGTTGCTGCTGCTGCAGGCTGCTGCTGCAGGCGCTGCAGCAGCAGCAAGTGTAAAAATTGCTGCAGCTGCTTCTTATGAGGGAGGTGTGGGGAGGGATGCGGCTGCAGCTTCAAACCCTTTCCCACGGCAAGCCCCTGAGGCTGCTGCTGCTGCTGCTGCTGCTGCTGCTGCTGTCGCTGCTGCAGCCGCTGCTGGGTATTTGGGGTGTACATATGCCGCTGGTTTGCATTCACTCCGCTGCTGCGTCCAACTACAAGTTGTGCAGCAGCAGCAGCAACAGCAGCAGCAGCTGCTGCTGCACAACAGCTGCAGAAGCGGCATGAAATGCCCACTAAGGGCCTTCTGTAGTTGGACGCTGCGAGTGTGCTGCTGCTGCTGTTGCTGCTGCTGTTGCTGCAACAGTTGCTGCTGTAGCTGCTGCTTCTACTCCGGAGTGTCTGTACACCTCAGTCCCCACACATTGGGTGCAAAGACTTCTGCCCTGCTGCCTCCCTCATGAAAATCTGCTTAGCAGCAGCAGCAACAGCAGCTGCAGCAGCAGCAACAGCAGCAGCAGGTTAGACTTCGTGCTGGCTAAGGAATCGTATAAGGTGTCGGACCTCTCGTCTGTACATCTCTAGCTGCTCCTCCTGTGAGTGCTGCAGCAACAGCAGCACGGAAGCAGCTCTCTCTGGCTCTGTGCTGTATTCAGGTTGCTGCTGCAGCAGCAGCAGCGACCTCTCTATTATGTCTGGCCCTACAGGTGACTGCAGCAGCCGTCTAAAGTATGCAACAGAGGCATCCCTCATCTGCCTCGCCATTGCCTGCACCTCCTTGCTGCTGCTGCTGCTGCTGCTGCTGCTGCTGCTGCTGCTGCTGCTGCTGCTAGTTGGGTCTGTAGCATGGCTGCTACCTGCTGCTGCTGCTGCTTGGGCTTTCTTTGAGGCTTTTGTGCCTTCCTTGTGTCTCTCATCATCGCTGTTGTTGCCATTGTTGCATGCACTGGTTGCAGGACGTTTAGATTCGCTGCTGCTGCTGCTGCTGCTACTGCTGGTACCGCTACTGCTGCTGTTGTTGTTGTCTTTGCTGTTGCTGCTGCTGCTGCTGCAGCCAAGAGTTAGCTGCGCAAGACGGGTACTGATGCCACCAACCTCTGATGGTTTTAGTCCTGTTGCCTCGTTATTCTCAAAGAGGACGAGGTGCAGCAGCAGCGCTGCTTCTAGTGCTGTGTCGCTGCTGCTGCAGCAGCAGCTGCAGCAGCAAATCTGTATAAGAAGCTCTGCAGCACCTACGGGATCTGGGGGCCCCTCGGGGGGCCCCTGCAACAGCAACTGAGGATCCCCTTTAAGCAGATCAGCACACAGCAGCAACAAGGAAGCAAGAGTGCTGCTGCTCTCATCATCGAGCAGCTGCAGCTGCTGCTCCTCTACCTGCTGCCGCAGCTGCTGCAGGAAATTATCTGCTCGTGTCTCTGGGGGGACATCAAGAGACACCGCAGGTGCAGCAGCAGTTGCTGGCAGCAGCGGTGTCCGCAGCAGCTCTGCTGCTCTCTCTATAGTAATCAGCAGCAGCATTTGCTGCTGATGCTGCTGCCGCAGCAGCAGCAGCAAAGGAGGTACAGCCCCCAATACCTCCTCTTCTGTTGGTACTACTACAGCCCCTTTTGCTTTTGCTGCTGCTTTTGCTGCAGCAGCAGCAAGGTTTGCTGCTGCTGTACTGTCTACATCCCCAACAGCCAGCAGCAGCGCCACTGCATGCGCTGCTGCACTCAGCAGCGGCTCGTGCAGCGCCTGCCGCAGCACATGCATGCACCGCGACAGCAGATCCTCTGCTGCTGCTTCTGTTGGTGCAGCACGCAGCAGCAGCAGCCGTCTATTCCTAGCTTCTTCCAGCTGCTGCTGCAGTGTCTGCTGCTGCTGCTGCTGCTCCTGCTGCCGCAGACTCAGTGCAGCAGATAGACCCCTAAGAGCTTCCTTTAATGCGCCTGCATGGGTGCAGCTAAGTACTGCAGCAGCAAATACATCAGCAGCAAGAGGGAGAGCAGCAGCAAGTGCAGCAGCAGCAGCAGATGCAGCACCTCCTGCTTCTTCTTGCATATCCTCTATACTAGGACTAAAAGAAATAAGATTTGCTGCTGCCATCAGCAGCAACTCAGCAATTGTTGCTGCAGATACACCTGCCTTGCGGCAGACACGGAGGAGTCTGCGGCTAACTGCAACAGCAGCAGCAGAGGGGCCTCCCTGTGGCTGCTGCTGCTGCTGTTGCTGCTGCTGCGATGCAGAAGAAGAAGAAAGACTCTCAAGACCAGGAAGTACCCACTGCTGCAGCAGCAGCAGCAGCAACTCTGCTCCGTTGTGCTGCAGCAGTGCTGCTGCCTGTGTTGGGTCTCCTGCTGCTTCTGCTAGCAGCTGCAGCTCCTCAAGAGACACAGAGACGAATCCATCCATATGATCTGCTTCTGCTGTTTCTGCTGCTGCTGCTGCTTCTGCTGCTGCTGCTGCATTTGCCTCTGCTTGCTCTGCCGCCTCTGCTGCAGCTGCAGCTGCTGCTGCTGCCGCTGCTGCACCTGCCTTTCCACTAAGACGTGCAGCTTCTTTCGCTGCTGCTTCAGCTTCCCGCCCTGCTGCTTCTGCTGCCTCCTCTGCCGCCGAAGCCTCCTGGTCTGCTGCTGCTGCTGCTGCTGCTGCTGCAGCAGCAGCAGCAGAAGGCCGCCTGTTAGGGCCCAATGCCCGCACCACAGCAGCTAAGACAGACAGCAGATGCTGCCTACACTCTAAGCAATCGCCTGTCTCTCTTGTCTGCAGCCTTACAGTAGATTCGTCGCTAGAAGAAGTTGACAGATCTGCTGCTGCTGCTGCTGCTGCTGCTGGTGCTGCTGCTGCTGCTCCAGGAATTGGGGAGCTGGGAGCCTGCCGAGCAGAGACATCGGCTCTTGCATCATCGGATGCTGCAGCAGCAGCTGCTGCACATGTCTTTCCATCGCCCGCCATCGCAACGCAGCTCTTCCTGCTGCTGCTGCTGCAGCGTGTGCGTTCTTGCTGCTGCTGGTATTGCTGCTGTTGTTGCTGCTGCTGCTGCAAATCCAGAATGTGTTGGAAGCTAAAAATGGACAAGAGAGGCAATGTTGCTGTTGCTGAGATAATCCTGCTGCTTTTGCTGCGCTACAGATGACTGCAGCAAGAGCAGCAGCAGCAGCAGCAGCAGCAGCAGCGCAGCCTCTCCAATATAACACGAGCACGCAGCTGTGCTGCAGCAGTAAACTTAAGGCGATATAAAGAATAGCTTAAGGTGTCAATAAATGCAAAATAACACTTCTTAATCGTAAGAAACGCCACAGCAGCAGCAGCAGCAATGCACAACAGCAGCAGCAGCAGCAGCTGCTGCTGCTGCTGTTGCTGCTGCCGTAGCGGTCCAGCGCCTAAGGAGGCCCCCGTTGCAAGTGAGGCCCGTAGGCTTCCTGAGAGAGCAGCAGCAGCAGCAGCAAATAAACAAACAGTTTTCTACTGCAGCGGGAATTTCTTGCCGCAGCTGCAGCAGCCCTTAGACAATTAAGGATCGACTTGTGGCGCACCCTGCTGCTGCTCTTGCTGCTGCTGCTGCTGCTGCTGCTGCTGCAGTGTGTAGTGCTGCTCCTGCTGCTGCAACAACACACAGCGTCAGCAGCAGCAGAAACTTCATCAGTTGACACCTGAAGAGGGGAGGCTGTGTAAGAAGACAAGCGGCTGAGGAAGACATCTGCTGCTGCTGCTGCTGCTGTTGCTGCAGCCTGTAGGCAGCAGCAACCTGCACGGTCCTCGGAGCAGGAGGAGCAGGAGCGCAGCAGCAATAAACCAATGCAGCAGCTGTCTAAACAGCAGCATGTGAATCAGCAGCAGCAACAACAGCAGCACGGACAACTGCATAAGTAGGCAACGGCCAAGGTTTGTACTGCAGCAGCAAAATAGGCAGCAGCAGAATCAACAGAGGGAGCAGCAGCAGCAGCAGCAGTACAAGCAGCAGCTGCAGCTGCAACAGCAGCAGCTGCAGTATATATATACCTCTAGAAGTATGTTGGCTCCTCTGGGGCCGGCTGGGGGAGGCGAGGATGGTAAGCATACCCCTAAACCCTAAACCCTAAACCCTAAACCCTAAACCCTAAACCCTAAACCCTAAGGTCGAAACCCTATACCCTAAGATTGAAACCCTAAACCCTAAACCCTAATATTTTAGAGATAAACTCTATTATATAAACCCCACAACAAATCTATGCGTAATTAGGGGAAGGATAAACCCTAAACCCTAATCTCTAAACCCTAAACCCTAAATCTCTAAACCCTAAACACTAAATCTCTAAACCCTAAATCTCTAAACCCTAAACCCTAAACCCTAATATTTGTGCACGAGAGGCTTTATCGGGGATAATTGTTAGACCGTGTAAACCCTAAACACTACATTCTCTGTTGTTTCCTTGTCTTTCTCTTTTTCTCCTTCTTATCTCCCTTTCCTTCTTCTTCTTCTCCCTTTTCTTCCTTTTTTCCTCTCTTTTTTCTTCTTTTTCTTTTTTTTTTCTCCTTAGGTCCTTAAGAGGCCGTTGTATCCTTCCCTTCGCTTTATTCCTCACAGACTCACCGTCTCTAAACGTCTGGCCCAAGTACGGCTCCTGCTGCTGCTGCTGCTGCTGTTGCTGCTGCTGCTGCTACTGTTGCTGCTACTGTTGCTGCTGGCGTTGCTGCTGCTTGTGCTGCTCTTGTCTTTAGCCTTTGCTGCTGTTGCTGCTTCTGCTGCTTCTGTTGCTGCTGTTTCTGCTGCTGTTATGGTAGTTGTTGCTGCCTGCAATATTTCAAGGTAGACGTTGATCGTTACCATTGCTGCTGCTGCTGCTGCTGTTGCTGCTGTTCCAGCAGCAGCAGCAGCAGCAGCAGCAGCAGCAGCAGCAGCAGCAGCAGCAGCAGCAGCAGCTAGCAGATGTTCTTTAAGAACAGACTATGCAGCCTTTGTTCCCTGTATCCACATACTCCCTTCTAATTTCCCTCTGCTTCTGCTGCATCTCCTGCTGCTGCTGTTGCTGCTTATGCTGCTGCTTGTGTTGCTGTTGTTGCTGCTGCTGCTGGTGCTGCTGCAGTGTTTGAATCCTCAGCTGCCGTCTGGCGTGCATGCATTAGCATTAGAGGCATTTGCATGCATACTAACACGATTAGGACCTGATGGTTTATCTAAGGATTTATCTTTATGGTCTTGGAGTCTATTTACTTTCTCTGCTAATGCTGCTGCACATCTTAGATCTTTTTATCTATATATTATTAATTCTTTCTTCTTACCATTAGGTAATTATATTTATTTATTTATTTATTTATATTTATTTATTTATTTATATTTATTTATTTATTTATTTATTATATATTTCTTTATGTCCTTCTTGTCCCCTTCTTTGTCTCTTATTATAACTTTGTCCCTATTAAGGAATACACATAGACAGAAAGAGACAGAAAAAGAGACAAAAGGAGACAATAAGTTATTAATTGTATTATTTGTTGCTGCTGTTGCTGTTGCTGCTGCTGCTGCTGCTGCATCAGGTCCTCAGCTTCTTCCCTGTTTATCAGGTTTATTAGTATCTTTATTGTTATGCATGGAGGAGGAGACATCTTCTTCTTCTGCAGAATTTGCTGCAGCAACAGCAAATAAGCTGCAGCTTGCTGCTGGATTGTCTCCTTTTGCTGCTGCTCTATGGGATTGTCTCCTTAGAGCAGCAAGATGTCGTATTGCTGCACTACATCTTATATCTAAACTTCTTAACCCTCCTCTATCTATGCAGCCTCCTGTAACTCTTTCCTCCTCCTCCTCCTGCAGCTGCTCCTGTTGTTGCTGCTGCTGCTGCTGTTGTTGTTGTATGCTGTTGCTGCTGTTGTATGCTGTTGCATCTGCTGCTGTTGCTGCTGTTGTATGATGTTGTATGGTGCTCATGCTGCTGCTGTCGTGTAGTGCTGCTGTTATTTGCTGAAATTGCCGTTGCTAATTTTGCTGCTGCTGTTGCTGCTGCTGCTGCTGCTGTTGCTGCTGGGTGTTGGAGTATTGGTATTGAGGTGCTGCGTCCTTTGCTGCAGCAGCAACAGCAATTGTTGTTGCTGCTGTTGTTGCTGCACTGTATGTCTGATTATCTTTCTCTACCTCTCCCTCTGAAGCTGCTGCTGCTGCTGCTGCTGGTGTTTTTACTGCTGCTGCTGCTGCTGTTCAGAGACAGGTGGCTCTGCTGCTACCAGGGAGACCTAGGCTTGTTGTTGGGGCATTGGAGGCAGCACTTGCAGACTCAAACAGATTAGTCTGCAGGGAGGTCCTTGATTTGCTGCTGCTGCAGCTGCCATTAACTAATCAAATACTTAGTAAAAATGAGAGGGTGAGGCTGCTGCTGCTGCTGCTGCTGCTGCTGACTGATGCTGCTGCTGCTGCTGACTGCGGTGTTGCTGCTGCTGCTGACGGTGATGTTGCTGCTGCTGCTGACTGCGATGTTGTTGCTGCTGCTTCTGACTGTGATGCTGCTGCTGCTGCTGACTGTCATGTTGTTGCTGATGGGGAACGCGATGGTTCTGGTGTGCTATGAAGGTGGTGGTAGTAGTCCTGCTGCTGCTGCTCTGCTGCTGCTGCTGCTCTGCTGCTGCTGTTGTTGTAATTAATTGTAGTTTGTGCAGAAAGGCACTAGTGCTTTTTTTTGTCTTATGTTGCATGCATTGCGTTTTTTTTGTGTTTTTTTGTCTTTTTTTTGTTTATATTTGCCATTTAATATTTTATATTAAATATATAATTTTTTATTTATTTATATAAATAAAATATACAAAACATAAAATAATAATAATAATAATATATAATTAATTATTTTATTTATGTTTTTTTTCTTTATTTATGATTAATTACTGCTGCTGTATAGCGTCTTCTTTTTATACAAGATAGGTGAATTATATAAGAAAATAATAGACAAAAAGAGATAGAAATAAGTATAAATGTATATTAATTATATATATTTATATATATATTTATATATATTTATAATTTATTTATTATTTATTTACTATTTAGGTACGATTAATTGCTGCTGTATGGCGTCTTCTTCCTCTACAAGATTGGTCATTAACTCGTCGTGCTGTTCGTTGGCTAACAGCACAAACAGATAAGCATGCAGAAGGAAATATTCCTATTGAATTCTCTACTCATGTACTTTATTTATTTATTTAATTTATTTATTTATTTATTTATTTATTTTATTCTTTTTTATTTCCTTTTTATTATTCTTCTTCGTTAATTTTCTTTATTTTTATTTTTTTTGTCTTTTTTCTCATCTTCTTTCCTTTTTTATTCCTTTTATTCTTCTGTTTATTTATTTTATTCTTTTTTAATTCTTTTTATTATTCTTTTTTCTTAATTTTCTTTATTATTCTTGATGTTTTATTCCTCCTCTTCTTTCTTATTCTTAATATCTTATTTCTGTAGATGGTGTCCTTGGTGCTGCTGCTGTTGTCGCTCGTGTTGCTGTAGATGTTGCTGCTGCTGCTAGTGCTGTATGTGCTGCTGCTGCAATGATTCTGCTGCAACTGTATTGGTTGCTTGGTTGCTTCTGTTGCAGTTTTGCCCGTGCGTGTCTTTTACTTGCTTTTGCTGCTACAGCAGCATCAGCAGCAGCAACGAGTACTTTGTGCAACTGCCGTTGCCCTACGCATGTTCGATGTCCTCTTGGCTGTGTAGGCATTATGGTGTGAGGGATAGGATTGAGGGTTTAGGGTTTAGGGTTTAGGGTTTAGGGTTTAGAGTGTGTGCTGTGTCAGGCGAAGCCAGATTTATTATGTGCAATTGCTTCTTCTTTGCTGCCTCCTCCAACTTCTCGTGCTGCTGCGCTGCTGCCGCTTAAGGCATTGTTTGTTTTTCTTGGAGATGACGAGTTCGAGGGAGCAGCAGAACAGCTTATGCCTACTCTCTCAGCACCTGTTCTGCGCTACCTCCATAGGTGCTGCTGCTGTTGCTGCTGCTGCTGCTGCTGTTGCTGTTGCTGTTGTTGTTGATCTGCTTGCTCTTTTTGATTATTAAGCTGCTTCTGCTTCTCATGCCGATGCTACGGTTGGGATTGAAGCTGCTGCTGCACCTTGGGATGGAGCTGCTGCTGCGGCTGGATATGCTGTGATTGCTGCTGCTGTCTCTTCTTCTCGCAACAACAGCAGCCGCTGCTGCATGTATGTGTTCTGCATGCTACAACGGGTGTTGATGAAGCAGTTGCAAATGCATCCAGTCCGGCTGCTGCTGCTGCTTTTGCTGCTGCTGCTGCTGCAGGGAGTGCAACAACCCTGAGTGGGGGGCAGCGTGTCTACAGGAGGCGCAGCACGTCTTCCATTTGAAGCTGACGCCTCCAGACATGGTCTGGACAGCTTTGGCTGACGAGCTGCGCCTCGTGTTGCAGCAGCAGTTGGAGCAAGATGAGGATAAGCTGCAGCAAGACCAGCAGCAGCAACTTCAGCAAGACCAGCAGCAGCAACTGCAGCAAGACGAGGAGCAGCTGCGGCAAGACCAGCAGCAGTCCGGTGAAGGAGGTCGTGTGGGCGACATTCCACGAGATGCATCAAAGCGAGCAGCAGCAGCAGCAGCAGCAGCAGCAGCGCAACAAGTATTGCAACTGGCTGCGCTGTTTGCAGACCGCATTGCTGCACCTCTTGCTGCTGCTGCTGCTGCCAGTGGTGCAGCAGACGCAGCAGCCATCTGCGGTGTACAAACACTGCACGGGTTCGCTCAGCTGTTGACCCTTGTTCTTGGTATGCCTTCACACCCTAAACCCTCGAGAAGTTTCCTCCCCACACAACCGGCCATCTCCCGCTGCTCATACGACCTGCTGCTGCTGCTACTGTTGCTGTTGCAGAGGGATGCGGAGAGATCGCGCCGACGCTGCAGCAGCTGCCTCTGGGTCGGCCGCTGCTGCAGCAAACGGTCGCCTGCCTCAGGCGTCTGAGGCCCTTGAGAGCCAACAAGGAGCTGCTGCTGCAGCACAACCGCGCTGCTGCTGCCTCAGCCCACGCCACGCTCTCTCAAGCAGCAGCAGCACCTGCTGCTCCTGCTGCTCCTCTTTCACTGCAGGATGACGCTGGCATAACAGCAACAGGAAACGAAGCAGCTGCTGGAGAAAAAACCATTTCTGCTGATGATGCAGGGGAAGGCGCCGTTCCAGCAGCCGGTGCTGCTGCTGCTGTAGCCTCAGCCGAGTTTTCAGGATGCCACGAAGCGATGCAGCCGTGGCTGCAGCAGCTCTTACAGCAGCTGCAGCAGCTGCTGCATGCAATCAGCAGCTTTCTATGTCATGTTGAATCTCTTCTCGTGCAGCTGTTGGCAACCGAAGAGGCTGCAACTCCTGCATTAGATACTCTCTTCTCCCTGCTGGTCGGTTGCTGTTGGTGCTGTTGCTATCGCGGTCGCTGCTGCTGCTTCTGCTGCTGCTGCTGCTGCCTGCACTGGAGCCGGATTGTCTTTGCACTTGTTGGATTTGGTGCCTGCTGGGGGCTAGGGTGTGAGGGTTTAGGGTTTACAGTCTAGGGTCTAGGCATCTTGCCCAATGCGCCTTTTATGTCTGATGACGACTCAGGCCCCGCTTGTAGAGTTACAGTGTTTTATTGAGGAGCAAATACTTAGCAGCAGCAGCAACAGCAGCGACAACAGTAATAACAGAAGTCTTCCCCCTTGGCTGCTGGCTCTGCTGGACTGTGCAACGTCACCGCGGTTTTCTGTTTGCTGCAGAGCAGCACAAACATATATCTCCATATTGAAGAGCAGCAGCAGCAGCAGCAACAGCAACAGTAGCAGCAGCAGGAGACGCCTCATTTGCGACACCGACGAGTGTCTGGTCTGTCGAAGCTATCTGTACACCCCAGCCGCCCTTCTGCTGCAGCTGCTGCCTGCCTGGCTGCTGCCGCTGCGTGTGCTTGTGATGACTGTGCAGTGTGCTTTTCTGTATGCACCACTGTGTTTATTGATTGGGTTATTGCTGCAGCGCGTGGCAGCGACACTTTGGGACTGTTTAGGTAGCAGCAGCAGCAGCAGCAGCTGTAGCAGCAAAGCAGAAGGGCTGGTTGTCGACTTGCTGCTGCAGCTGAATGACGCGTGTGTACCTGAACGACCGGTGAGTGCTGCTGTCGCTGCTTCCGTTGCTGTTGCTGCTTCTGTTGCTGCTGCCGCCTCTCTCACTGCTGCATGGCGGCACTGGCAGCATCAGGTGTCAGCAACGCAGCCACCGGGATCAGCACATGCACAGCAAAGGCGCACAGCATCAGCAGCAAACGAAGCGGTAGCAGCAGCAGCGCAGCAGCAAGCCTGACAAAAGAGTGCTGCTGTCTTTTGTCTTCTGTGCGCAGGCGGTCTTGGAATCGGTGATTCTAGCCGGCCTTCAAGGCAACGGTGGGAGCAGCAGCAAGCGCCTCAGCAGCAGCAGCAAGGCAGAAAGCATCTGGCGGTTCAGTGCCTTCTGGCGGCATGCAAGGCTGCAGGTGTACAGGCCGCTTGGTCTGCTGCTCCCCAATGCTGTGCTGCAGCTCCTCGCAGCACTTGAAGACCCTTTGCCAGACGTCAGGTGGGCTTGCTGCTGCTGCTTCTGCGGTAGCTGGGCTGCTGCTGCGCAAGGGGTCGGCGCAGCGACTTGGGGTATGTAGGGTGCAAACTTGCTGCTGATGCTGCTGCTGCTGTTGCGGTCCCCGGCGCTGTCCGCGCAGGTACGCAGCACGCGTCTTTGTGCGGCTGGGACTTGACACAGCACCGCAGCTGCTACGCCCTGTCTTCGACTGCATCTTGAGTGCTCCTCCGCCGTTTCAGCAACAGCAGCATCACGACGAGCAGCAGCTGCTGCAACAACAGCAGCAGGAGGGGCCGGTGAAAGAGGAGCAGTTACAGGGGGTGTTGCAGCACAACTTGCAGGAAAGTCCTAACCAGGAGGGTGGTGCTGCTACTGCGGTGGAAGCGACTGCTGCTGCACATTGGGGTCTTGAGCTGTTGCAGCTGCTCCTTCTTGTCGAGGGGCAGCTGCTGCTGGAGCGCATGCAGGCATTTTACGTTGAAGAAAATCTGTTGCAGCAAAATGCAGTGCAGGCGCATTTGTGGGCGGCAGCAAATGGCTCTCGAGGTGCGAAGTCCTGAAGCCTAAACCCTAAACCCTAAGCCCTAGTCCCTAAACACTAGATTGTAGGCCAAAACCACAAGCTGCTAACTGTGGGCCTTCCTGACGTTCTGGCTCTAAACCCCAAACCCTCACAGACATAGCCAACTCAGTTCTGCTGCTCTGTCGGGTTTAGAGTTTAGGGTTTACCCGAAACCTAAGCCGGTGTGGCGGCTTGGGGTTTAGGATTGAAACCGGTTGGCTGCAATCAGGGTTTATGGTCTAGTGTTTAGGGGTTTGGCGCGTATGCAGGCAACCTCGATGGCGAGGCAACGAGTGCAGTAGCACCAGGAACAACAACGGCAGCAGCAACAGCAACCGCAACAGCGACAGCAGCAGCAGCAGCAGCGGCAGACTGGCGCGCCTGGACGTACAGCGATTTCTCTGTTGTTGATTACGTCGATTTGTTTTGTGTTGTTCTGCTTCGCTTCATATCCTTCCGGCTGCTTCCCTCAGCAGCAACAACAGCAGCGACAGCAGCAGCAGCAGACACTGCGGACTACTCGGCACCAGCATCCTCGACGTGCTCTCCAGCGCCTTCAGCAGCGGCAACAACGGCAGCTGCAGCACCAACGGCAGCATGCAGCAGGTTTGCTGCGCTTCATGGAAAGGCCTGCGAGCTGCTGGCTTCTTTTGTCTCTTCTCTGCAGCCAGCAGCAAGAGCAAAGGAAGTCTGCTGCCTCCTCTCGCATGCATTGGTAGACCGACTTATTGCTGCAGTGCAACAAGCAGATTACGCAGCACAGGTGGGAATTCCGGCATTAGAGTTTAGGGTTTAGGGTTTAGACGTCAGGGCGGAAGGTTAGCTGTAGCCAGTGGTGGTATGGATTTACGTATTGCCTGTGCTGCTGTCTTTCGTGTTGTTGCTGCTGCTGCTACTGCTGCAGTCCCAGTTGTTGCAGCTGCTTCGCGTTGTCATCGTACACTCAAGCCAGACATCTGCGGGCTTCTCCCAGGCCAGCAAGTGCATTCTGGACAGCAGCAGCAATGAGCTACAGCAGCTGCTGCAGCAACAGCTGCCGCAGCGTCCACCATCGCCTTCGGCAGCAGCAGCTGCTGCTGCTGCTCTGGCTGCTGCTTCTGCTGCCTCAGCTGTTTCTTCTCCAACTGGAGCACTTGCAGTCCCTGAAGCGGTAGAGCCGTCATCACAGCAGGAGCAGATGCATCAGCAGCAATTTCCACTGTTTGCTCTAGGTGTGCAGCACATGAAGGCAAGGGTAAGCTGTGGAGCGCTAGGGTTCAGGGCTTATTTTAATAATGAATGTCAATGGAGTGCAATTTGTAGTAGCTGAAAGTGCAGCAGCAACAGCAGCTGCTGCGGCCCCAGCCGCAGGGTTTGTGCTGCACTTAATTCTTGCCTGTATAGTATGTGTGAGGTGTGGGGTTTGCTTGTTGCTGCTGCAGCTCCAGCACCTGACGCCCCTTACTGAAGACTTTGGAGGCTTGTTACGGGGCCTGCTGCTGGCGATGCGCGTTGACGATACGGCAGCAGCAGCAGCTGCTGCTGCAGCAGCAAGGGACGCAGCTGTCGAGGAGGCAACGGAGCTTTCCCTCTTTTTACTGCAGTGCGCCTCTGTGAATACCATAAACCCTTGTATTGTACTACATACCATCGCACTACACTCTAAATAAGACCCTCCTAGACCCTTAGCCGTGAAGCCCCAGATCTGGTCTTCGGACATGGATTCTGTTTGCGGATTCTGCCTTTCATTTGCTGCTGTTGTTGCCATTCGTTTTATGGCTGCTGCTGATGTTGCTGTGGTGTACAGGCATCTTCCTGCTACTCAGCTGCAGCCCGTTTCTGTGGTGCTGCTCGACTTCTTCTGTCGCTTGCTGCTGCGCGCTGCCGTCGGCCGCAATGCAAAGCCGACTTCCCGCACCCGCAGGATTTGCTGCAACAGCAGCTGCAGCAGCAGCAGCAGCATGAGTTCGCGAATGCTGCTGCCGTATTTGCGGGGAATTTTGGGCGTCTTAAATTTCTCCCTTGACTCCGTTTCGAAGAGCGACTTGGCTAAGGAGTCATCTTCTGAGACAGGTGATAAACAAAACAGTAAACCCTAAACCCTAGACAGCAGATGAAGTGGGCAAGCTCCCCGCTGCATGCGCCGCCTATAGACAGCATTTTTGGCGTCTAAGGTTTCGTGTCTACGGGGGGGCATGGGATTCCTCTTTACGTGTTGCTGGGGTTTAGGGTTTGGTATTTTGGGTCTGGCTCAGGCGGACTGACGCCTTTCTTGGATCTATTCTCGTGGCATACTGCTGCTGTTAGCGAAGAGGAAGCACTTCAGCAGAAGCTGCAGCAGAGACTGCCTGCAATTGCTGCTGCAGCGCATATGACCGTATCGGCTTGCGTAGCTGCAGCAAACCTCGTGCTGCCTTCACTGGAGCAGCAGCAGCAACAACAGCGGGATGGCGATGGGGTTGCATATGGCAGTAGCAACAGCGGCGGAGACGTTGCTTCAGTCTGGCCTGCTGCTAGCGCGCTCCTGTATGAGGATGTAGATACCTCAGAGCCTCCGAGTAGTCCAGCAGCAGCAGCTGCAGCAGCAGCTGCTTCGGTCTGCAGCAGCCAGCAGCAGCAGCAGCAACTCGCCGACTGCACAGGCGTACACTTAACGCATGCTGATGAGGCCGCCCTTTCCCTCTTGACCCAAATACTAGACAGGCTGTTTGCAAGGTAACCCATAAACCCTAAAGACTAGAGACTAAAGTTCTCACAGTACCTAAATCCTAAACCCTAGAGGGAAAGAGGCAGCAGGTGGACAGCTGCCAAACTATGTGCATCTGGAGGCACAAACCCTAGCGTATACGTACACAGGGGAACTGTAAACCGTACGACCTAAACCCCAGCACCTAATCACGATTTTCTAAACCGTAGGAAACTTGCAGCCTGCAGGCAACAACTGAAAACTTCCGACGCTGAATGCTTGACTACACATTGCCACGCTGGTGTAGGGCTGAGGGTTTGCGGTCTGCCTGTTGAATGCAGCTTCCCCCGGAGGTTCGCCGCTAGTTGTATTTCCATCTGGAGTAGCGGTCTCTGCAGCGACGGCCGGAATTTAAGGAGTTTGTTATTGCTGCTGCGTCTCTCGCGTCGTGGGAAGCTGCAGTAAACCCTAAACCCTAGCCCAAGCCCTAAACCACAGTTTCCTGGAGTTTATAGACGCTGCAGCTTTATGCTCCGCCCTCGCCATCATCTAGCTTGTTTGGAGGGTTTAGGATTTAGATTTATGTCTCCGGGTTTACAAGTGTGGGTCTAGGGTCGTGTTTATTGTGCAGGACCTTGTTGGCTCCGCTATTGGGTTTACTGCAAGACGCTTCAAAGGGTGTGGGATTCGGCGGTGCTGCATCTGCTTCTGTGTCTCCGTCTTCTTGCCTGCTCCACCTCTCTCCTCTTGCTGCTGCTGAAGAACGGGCAGCTGGAGCAGCAGCTGAGGGACCTGCAGCAGGCCAGGAAGCACCGGCAGAAAGAGCAGATGTAGATGCTGCTGCACCTTCCACAGCAGGGGGAGCTTCTGCAATATCAGGTGCAGAAGCATCAGCACCAGCAGCAACAACAGCAGAAGCAGCAGCAGCGGCAGCAGCAGCAGCAGGCCGCGAGAGCATGGAGAAGCTGCTACAACAGGCAGGGCTTGCAGAGGCACATAACCCGCGGGAGAGCATCATTTTTCACATGGTGTATACTCTGGTTGTTGCTGCGTACCCCCCTCCTTTTGTGAGCTTCTGTTCTCTTTGCACATCGGCCTGCCGCATGCAACAACAGCAGCAGCAGGCGCCCTTGGGCACAGCTGCTGCTACAGTGGCGGCGGCAGCGAATCTTGACACAGCAGACGCCGCCTCGAACAGCAGCACAAGCAATACCAGCAGCAGCAGCAACAGCAGCAGCAGCACGGAAAGTGACGTGGAGGTTGTGTGGAAACTTCTGGGGCGTTTGGTGTCGTTCTCTGTCTCCGCCCCACGGCAGCCGCTGTCTGTGCTGTGGCTGTTTGCTGTTGTCTTCGCCTTAGACAGAACAAAGCCTGCCAAGGAACACTTCCTTGCCTGCAAAAGGGTATGGCCAAACCTTAAACCCTCCTCCGTGTTAAACCTGTGTATCCACTCGATCCATAGCCCTATTCCTTCAGGCTACCCCTCAGATTCTGAAACCTCCCCCTACTGCGTAAACCGCAAACCCTTGTTCACGTTAATCACTTTTCTCTCTGGACCCAACCCTTGACAGTACCAGCCGTTGGCGAGTGGCCAATTCGTATGCCTCAGCAGTTAGTCGCCGTGAGGATATGATCGTTGAGAGTTTGAGGTGTATGTGCAGGTGCGGCGGGACATGCACGAGCTGTTCCGACTTTGTTGTTTTGTGGCTTTGGGTTGTTTTTCTCAACGCGTGGGTACAGCAGCAAATCCCAACGGCTTCGACACCTCTCCACCTCTTCCCCCCCCAGTGGATATCCTGAACCAGGCACTAGCGGTTCCCGCTGCGGCGGCAGCCCCTGCTGGAGCAGCAGCTTCTGCTCCTGCTGCTGGGATTTCTGCAGCTCCTGCTGCTGCGGTTGCGGATGAGGAGGGAGGAGGTTCTAGAGAAGGCGTGTCTCCAGCAGCTGCGACGCCAGGGTTTCTGCTGGAGACAGGAGGCAACAGCAATAGCAGCAGCTGCTGCAGCAGGACGGAAAACGCTTTGTTGCTGCAAGAGCTACAGCGCAGGCTTGCGCTGCTTCAGCCTCCATCTTTAGCTGCCCCTTGCTGCACAACCGAAGCCAACAAAGCTGTTGCAAGTCGAGCGAGCAATTCGGCTGTCTCCTGTCCAACAACAGCTCCAGCTGATGTCGCAGCAGTGTTTGGCCTAGCAGCGCTCCTCATGCAGTGTGCAGATGTCCGTCGGCCTCAAACCAAAAACACTAATGCATGCGACCATATGCAGCATAGCGGACCCTAATGCGCCCTCACAAACCAGCATGCAAGCTAAGGCACTCTGAGCAGCCCTGCTGAACCTTAGTAAATCCTAAAATTAAACGGAATCCACCCTTGTCAATCGATTAAACCCTAGTAAACTCTAATGTGCCCTAGTACCCAGTACACCTCTATGAACGCTCAGTAACTGTCATACACCCTAATAAAACCTAATACACCCCACTAAAACCCTACTACAGCCTAATGCACCCTAACAAAACCTACCTTGAATACTCGCCCGGTGGACCGTTGACAGACACCCCAGCCGTTACTCTAAACCCTCTTTGAGGGCCGGAGCACCCCTGTGACATGGAGTTTACGGTTTATGGTTTATGGCTTGATTGCAGCTGAAGCAGCTGAATCGGCGGAGCCCTTTGACGATGTTATTTTTGCAAACCCTAACTGAGGAGCTTCAGGGGAGCATCGCGCAAGCGATGGGCAGCACTGCCCCACAGGTACGTAGTTTAGCCCTTTACGGTTTAGAGAGGAGGCTTCTGGGTTTGATTTGAGAGGTTTTGGAGTTGCTGTCTTTGCACGTTCAGGGCTTCCTTTTCCGCTTCTTGCTGTTATCGCTGCTGCAAGCCTTTCCTCTGCGGCTGTTCCCCGCAGCAGCAGCAGCAGCAGCAGCAGCGTCGCTGCGTCGTTTGCTGCTGGAGGAGCTTCAGAAGCCGTTGTTGTTGCATTCAGACCGCAGGACTCTCAGGGCTCTAGGAGAGGCCCTTGCCTGCTCTCTAACATCGGAGACACCGAAGCTCGATGTTATTCTCCCGCCACCCAACGCCGGCGTAAACCCTGAACCCTAAACCCTTGGGCGTTACAACGTGCAGACCCTGTGTGACCAATTCTAGGTTTTAGTGTTTAGTCAAAGGTTTTACAGTTTATGGTTCTAAGATTTCCCTTCACGCATATGAGAGTGTTGTTTGTTGTTGTCTCTGTGTGCTGACTGTTCCTTACTTTTATGCTCTAGTGTCTGTGCTGCAACCAAGAGCGTTGGGCTGCCAGTGAGGGTTTGGGAGGATTTGGTTTAGCGTTTAGGAGGATCAGTCAGGGTGCACGCTGCTGATCTTGGAAGCGTGTACTGTCTTGGCTGGCAGGTGCTGTTCTCATTAGCATTTTGTTGCTGTTATTGTTTATTGACATTCTGGGTGGTTTTCCCTCGTTAATTGTTATTATCCCTTCTATTCTTTTGCTTGCAAGTGGTTTCCTTGTAATTCTCATTATTTTGGTTATTGCAAGAGTCAAATATATTACATATATATATATATATATATATTATATAT